TAAGTTAGTGGAACATATATTATTGGACTAAAATCCTCAATGATGGAGTTCTTCAGTGATGGAGTTCGTATTGTTTTAGTTGTTTTTGCAAAAGTGGCAACGATAAAAATTTAAAGATGAGAATTATTTTACATTTATGTTTCGACAAATCAATAAGGCTTATCAAAGTTTGGTTCTATTTGTTTATTTTCTATAAACTAATAACAACGTTGTTCAAACGAAACGACATCCCAATTATCAATGCTTAACATTTGTACCTAAATACCATGATCATTGATTTTAGTGCGGGTACTCCGATCTTCTTTGCATTTTGTCTTCTTCTTTTGGTTTAAGGATAATACTAATGAAAAAATATTATAAAAAGATAATGTGTAGTGAAAACAGTTTTCTATTAGGAATCTAAATGTACATGCAAAAAAAAAAGTAGATTTATATGCTTAGTATCAGGGTAATTTCGTTTATAAGGGAAATTTTGTCTTTTTGCCTATTAACAAAAACTAACCTAATATTTACATTTATATACTTATAATTATGAAATATAAAGTGAAAGCCCGCACGTAGTGCGGGTACTCACCTAGTAACAACAAAACTTCATATTTAATCTCTTCACGTGTTTGTAGATTGGAAATAATTTGATTTAACGATAGAATGACCAAGATATTTCATTTTGAATTTAGTAAACTCGTTTTGTATACCGAATTAAAGGTAATAATTTCAAGTTTCGAATATGATGTTTAAGATCCTAATTATGAGTAGAATTGAATGTGAAACGGTTTTATTAGTATACAAGAAAAGGGTATATGAAAGGGTTAAGTAATTAACTTCGATATATAAACACGCACAGAACTCGAAGAGCCGAGTATAAGATTAAAAAAAAATGAATCCAAAATTAAACGAAGCACCTTTGTGTTGTAACTCTATGAGTATATATATATATGGTTTATATAATACAAAGTCTTCATGATGTAATGGAGATTTCAGAAAAATGGATAGAACACTATAGTAGCAAACACAAAATCCTTCTTGTTGGAGAAGGAAACTTCTCATTCTCACTATGTCTAGCTTCAGCTTTTGCCTCGGCCATGAACATAACCGCAACCTCTCTCGATTCTGAAGGTATGTAAAACCCATTTTATATGAACATTTATAATACACATCTATCACTAGTATTAACGAATCAATAAAATTTTACATGTAGATGAACTGTGCACAAAATATATGGATGCGATGGATAACATAAACAAATTGGAGAGATACGGATGTGATATTCAGCACGATGTTGACGTGCACACAATGAGCTTCGATAATAGTTTGAGCCTGCAACGCTATGACCGCATTGTCTTCAATTTTCCTCACGCAGGGTCACGTTTCTTTGGTCGTGAATTTTCATCTAGGGCCATCGAGTAACTAAATATATTCTTTCATTTTCTTACTTTATAGTTTATGATTTGGACCGATCGTAATGATAAAACGCTGTGTTTTGGATCAGGAGCCACAAAGAGTTAGTGAGAGGTTTTCTTGAGAACGCTAAGGAGATGTTGGAAGAGGACGGGGAGATCCATATCACACACAAGACAACGTATCCATTTAGCGATTGGGGGATAAAGAAGCTGGCTAAAGGAGAAGGTTTGAAGTTGCTTAAGAAATCGAAGTTCGAGCTGAGTCATTATCCGGGTTATATCAACAAGAGAGGTAGTGGTGGACGTAGGAGTGATGATTACTTCCCTGTTGGTGAATGTTCTACTTACATGTTTATCCAATCCTAACTTTGGGAAATCTCGCTTTGTTTTTGGTATTATAACTATTAAAAAAAATGAATTGGGCATTACAACAACAACAAGGTAACATTAATTTGGTCCGAGTAGCAACCCTAGACGCGTCTTTTATTGATGCATGTTTATTTATTGTTCAGTGGTCAGTTCCTTCTCAAAACTTAAGACTCAAGAGCAATCGGTATACAAAAAGATCAAAAAAAAAAAAATCTATATATAATAGCAATCTAATAAATACCATTTGCACATCTGAACGGTTGCGTCTTTTTATCGTAACTTTTCGTTAATGTTTTTATTAATTAAAATATATATTTTACGGTTATGTTTTTTTTTTATAAATTGCATTCTGAATGTTTTCTACGGTTGCGTTTTTTATTGTAACTCTTCATAAACAGTTGAAACCGCTTATTCGAATCATTGCAATATTTAGTTATTTTACGAACAATTGCAACCTTTGGTTTATATATTTAGTTTATTTCACGAACAATTGCAATTTTTGGTTTATTTTATAAATAGCTATAACATTTAATTATTTGCCGCCGCGTCTCTCGGTGTAACTTTTCATAAATTATTATTTTAATTCTTAATTTTTAATTATTAAAATGTATTTAAATGAGATTGTAACTATTTAATTGAACTGTTTCAACATTTGGATTATTTGACGAATTATTGTAACTTTTGGTTTTGTGTTACGAACCATTGTTATCTTTAGTATATTTGATGAACTATTGCAACATTTGATATAATTGACGAACCGTTGCAGTTTTTGGAATATTTGATATCTACGGTTGCGTTTCTCGGATAAGTTCGTCATATTTTTAAAAAATATTTAAATACTAAAATATAGAAATGAATTGTTGTTACCGTTTAATTTAACACAATAACATTTGGTTTATTTGACGTTGAACGTTTTGGCTTATTTATCAAACCATTGTAATATTTGGTTTATTAGTTTATGCTTTTTGCAGTTGGGAATTCTTTTTTAGTTACAAATTATTGTTTTCTAATATTAATATACTTAATAAATGCTTGTGAGAGTTTTCTTTATCATATTTTTTGTAAAATATATATTGATTTATTATTAAAAAATTTCAAAATTATTATAATTCATTATGTTTTTTCGTTTGATATTTTTTAATGATTTTTGAAATATATTCCCCCGCGACATCGCGGGGGTCCTGAATCCTAGTAATAATAATAATAAAGATCTTTGAACTTTTTAATCTCAATATAATTTTTAAAACATAAAAGTTCTTGAGCTTATACAAGTTCGTGTAACTGACTTATAGTTTCATAAATTCATGTATAAATTTATAAAAACAAATTAGCCAGCTAGTAGGCTTTTTTTTGTTGTTTTCTCATACAAGTGTTAAGTGTGTATCATGTGATTGTCTATTTGCATCCACACATTTATATAGAATATATATATTTTTCGCCAAGAACAAAAAGGACGAGGAAGCTAATTAATTGGTTGAGATTAACACTTTAGTTTATTGGTTGGTCCAAAGAGTTGGTAGATTTCTTTGTCGTTTTCTCAATAGTTTAACATGCATATTCATGTGAAGTTGGACATGACGATATGCATCCATACTACATGTAGAATATATTATTTTTCCGCCACCAAAAGATATACAAAGAAGCTAATTAAACTGGTTGTAGATCACAGCAAATTACTTTAAAGGTTAAGAGATTCAATTTTAAAAGTAAAAATAATAACAACTATATCCCATTCCCAGTGTTGAGATTCGAGCTATATAATTCAAAATTATTTAGGTGATGCATGTAAGTTGTTAGAAATTTATAATCAATCGATGTCAAAGACATGGACCTACACGATCCGATAAATACCAGGGCCTTGTGAGGGTTAACAGCCACAATACAGAGGCCTTCAAAGTCTTTAAACCAGCTCAATATATCTTCATAGCGTCGGCATGGCTTGCCAAGAGACTCAATTCGAGAAGCAAATTATTGACTTGTACCACCAAATCTCTAAACACAAGAGCCTTAAACCTTCAAAAAATGTCGACACAGGGGCGGATCTACTTACATTGGGGAGGTGACAGCTGCCCCCACTTAATTTGACATAATTTGTTTTTACTTAAGAAAAATTACAATTATGATGGACAATTTGTGATTTTTCATTTTAATGATATTTACATGCGTAGCAAAAAAAATGATGGACAATTTGGATAATTCTTTTCTTATGCCCCCATTACCCATATTCGATTGCCCCCATTTACTATTTATACATCTTCTTAGTTTATGAAAAATTAAATATACTTCCAAAATTTTAGTGTAGTTAACTACAATCATCATTTATTAAATCCAAATTTCCTTACTGCCATAGTTTTGTAATCACATTTGCCTCATTACTTTTCTTAAGTTTTAGTTCTTTATTTTTTTCTAGCTATAGAGTATAGACTCTTTATTTTACGTGTGTATTTGGTATTTGCTATCTTTTTGTTTGTTTGTTTTTTTTAAAATTAATATTTATGTAATAAATTTAACAAACGACTACTTTTTACCATGACAAAATAATTAATATTTTTAAAAAGAAAAAAAAATAATATCTATAATTTTCTTAACAACAAACAATTATGTTTTAATTTTTCATATTGTTGGAGTATAATGAAAACTTAAGCATACAAATAACAAAAATCTTGTATAAGCTATGCCCCCAGTAAATAAATTTTCTGGATCCGTCACTGTGTCGACACCTTGTTCCAACAGCTCATGTCCACGTGCTTGCCGACGGAGACAAACATCGACGTCAAGAAGATGTGCCCAAAAGTCCAAGCCATCAGAACAAATCTCATCAAGCTACGTAGTGAAGCCGTAGGATATTCGGAGCAACACTTCTCTACGGTTTTAGCATCTCTCGAAGACAATCCACTTCACCATTTAGATCTCTATCCTTACTACACCAACTACCTCAAACTTACCAAGCTAGAGTTCGATCTCCTCACGAAATACCAAGCTAGAGTTCGATCTCCTCACGAAACACTCGAGTCATGTCCCGACCAAGATCGCTTTCGTGGGTTCGGGTTCGATGCCCTTCACATCCATCGTCCTGGCTAAGTTCCACCTCCCAAACACGACGTTTCACAACATCGACATCGACCCTCAAGCCAATTTACTTGCATCCCGTCTTGTATCACGGGATCCCGACCTCTCCAATCGCATGATCTTTCACACAACGGATATACTCGACGTCACGGAGATTCTACGTGACTACGATGTCGTTTTCTTGGCATCTCTTGTTGGGGTGGACAAAGAGGCCAAACTCAAAGTGATTGAACACTTGGAGAATCACATGGCTCCTGGAGCTCTGCTCATGCTTAGGAGTGCTCGAGGCCTTAGATCTTTCCTATATGTAGACGTTGATCCTTGTGATCTAAAAGGTTTCGAGGTCTTGGAAATTTATCACCCGTCCATGTCTGATGGCTTTGTGAACTCAGTGATGGTCGCACGCAAAATTAATCAGCGATTGAATAAGCACGAGTGGTGTATCGGAACTCGATCATTAAATTCATAAGAAGCAGGGCAGATGATGATTTCCTAAGAAATTAGGTCAAGACTGGAGCCATTACTTGTGGAACAAGGCAGATGATGATTTCCCTCATGAGGCCCTCTCTTCCTAGTTCAATATTAGTTCTGTGTTTTTGTCAACGTGTTGACGAAATCTAAATTAGTTGTTGTTTTCTCTCTCTGCTTATTGTTATTATTATGTCTCTGTATCAGCAAGACCATTTTCTCATATTTTAAGAAATTATTTAGCCTGTGAAGCACAAGAAGTTCTGTTAAACATAAAAGCATACAATATCCATAATATAAAGAATCCTCAATGGTTGAAGCAATGGACATGAGACATTATTACCAAATGCAAGCCATTTGATAAGAAGTAAGCTGTGGCTGAAGCACAATGTACATGAGTCATCTTTTTGTTTGTTTGCTTGAATAGAAACGCAGCGTTTGACGAATCCGGTAAGCAAAATTAGTTACAAAACCGAACCGAATCAATTCAACAAACGTGAAATAGATCGAAGCGGGCCAGGTCAAGTAGGTAGCCTCTCAATGATTAAGAGGGAACCAGCTGTATCCAGAGACCCTCTGAGTCAGTAAGAAGCTTCTAAGAGGGACAAGAAGCGGTAAAAAAAAACACGAGTTATGTCCGGTAATATCAAAATGGAAAAAAATCATTCATTTCAAGAAAGAGCAGAGAGTCCCACACAGCTATAAAGGCCCAAAAACACACCATCCACCGACGTGTATTGTAGATTTTGAGGTCTAAAAGCCTTTGTGTGCGCCAGATTAGCTCCCTACTAATCCGCCGCCGCACCTCCTCGATCTCCGCCCAGCTCCGTTCTTTTCTACATATTCCCAGTTGTTTCTCCTGTAACAAGCAGCTGAGGAAGAATAAGAAGAAGTAGCCGTCGTGGTGATGATGATGATGACGTCACTTGGTGGAGGCGGTGGTAGTGGTGGTGGTGGGAGATTTGTGCCGTATCCGCCGCCTCTTTCTGTGCCTCCGTCGGCTCCTCAGTCACCTAACTTCTCGGGTGGTCTCCGATCACAGCCTTCTTTCCTCGTTGAGCAAGAGAAGTAAATATATCAATCTCTGTTTTTTTTACTCTGTCTTATAGTTGACTTGTTTCTTGATCTCTGTTCTACTGATTTGGATCTCAAAGTCTTAATTTTTATCGCAAATCTTGTAACTTTTTTTTTGTTTTTTTTTCGTATCGTATGTTTCATTTCTGGTTCTTTGTTTCTCATACCGAGATCTATGCTTTCTATTTCTGATGCCCACATCGATTTTCAATATATATGGATGAGTTCTTACCTACCCACCACTGCAAATTAAGCTCTTTTTAGCTCAATATACTTCATTTGTGCATTGGTTTCTATAAAAAATCAAACTTTTTTAATTTGAAAACGATTAATCTAAATCTATGAACTTCGTATGTCTTTTTATCGATAGGGTAATGGATTGTTAGTGCCACAAGATGTTATAGAATCGTATGTTGTGTTCGGTTTGTGATTGTTGACTTGTGTTCATGAAGCTATAAATTCTCCACTCTGCCTAGATGCTGAATTGCTAATGTTTGGAGAAGGGGTTGCTGAAGAAATTGGATACATTAATCTAATTTAAAGATTATATTCTGCTTATTAAACGTGATTGTTGAGTGAAAATGAATGGATCTTCTTGTTTTCTTGTATGCTCAAGGTCATACTAATTTGGATAATATGCAATTTCTCTTTTTGCAGGTATCTTTCTGAGTTACTTGCAGAGCGTCACAAGCTTATTCCATTTTTGCCTGTGCTTCCACATGTTTGCCGGCTCATGAACCAAGGTGAGCCATACTGTTATTATTAGAGTTTCTTTACTTTCCTCATAAGATCTTCTGTAATTTTCGTTTCTTGCTTCAGAATTACGATCTTTGTACATTTTATAAGCATTTCATTGGTGCTTCTAAGAGAGATCATTTAGTTAGATGTTAGCAAAAAACATATGATAGAGTAATTGTACAACCCCATAAGTAAGATATCTTACTATCCAAAGAGACACTTAGTCCTCGTTCCCTTACTATGAATTAGAATATTCAACGATAGTGCAGAGTCTCTCAGTTGAATTGTGGTATAACAGATTTTAGAATTGACTTTTCTCTGATGTAGATTTTGTTTTCAAATCCTGTTACTAAGAATTTTACTTGAAATCCTTGTTCTGAGTTGTTTCATAGGGATGTGATATTGAACAGATCACATTTGTGACATTCGTAGATCATAGCAAAATTAGAGTATTGTCCTTGTTTGCAGTCTGTTACAATTTATTTAACTAGAGTGTCAACGTTAATATTCACTAACTTAGTTGAGACTTGAGACTATGATGTCTCTCCATTCCACTATCATTAGTGATGGATTTGTTGACTAATTCTAACTGGTCCGTCTTACTCTTGAATATTGACATTTTTTGAAACAGAAATTTTGCGTGTAACCACGTTGTTGGAGAATGCCTTAAGTCAGAGTAGGTTTGATCACCCTAGCCCTCTGGCTTCTGGAGGGATATTTCAGAATGCAAGAGCTGACATGAATGGATGGGCCTCACAATTTCCATCAGAAGTATGACTACTAACCATTAACATAACTCTTTTCATCTAATTCCATACTACTGCAGTAAAAGCTTTTGTTGACTTAAGTTGTTCTGACATAACCTGCTTTGACTTAATTGTAATCATAGTCTTCATTACAGGTAGCCTTTGTAACACTGAATATCAGTAATGTTGTGCAATGTTTTTGACTTAAGGTCAATGCACTAACTAATTCCATTGCCTTGAGGAGCCATATAATTGTTAGGTGCAGCAGTGAAAGATTGGATATAAATAACATGCTCTAATATTTGCAATCATTCTGTGAATATTATAATTAGGATAAGCAATTACAGGTTGCTAGCTTGCAACAGCGCGATACATTGTCCCTTTTCCATGGAAGAAACGTTTGATAAGATTTTTATTTCATGTTATTCGTGGTTTTGATGCTACAATCATATATATGTAACATGTACTTACGCATTGAGGTTGACATGGGTTCTAACAAGTTGTTGGTTTATCTTTTGATTTGTAGAGATCTGTTTCATCATCCCCAGCACCAAATTGGCTTAACTCTCCTGGTAGCTCGTCCGGTCTCATTGTCAAGCGAACAATCAGGGTGGATATTCCAGTTGACAAATACCCAAACGTATGAATCTTAATTCCCTTGTTGAGACCCTAAATTATCTTGTCAAAGTATAAACTATAATGTGGTAATTTGCAGTACAATTTTGTCGGTCGCCTCTTGGGTCCTAGAGGAAACTCCCTCAAACGAGTTGAAGCGAGTACTGATTGTCGTGTTCTAATAAGGGGTAGAGGCAGCATTAAAGATCCGATTAAGGTAGTTACTTTTTTCATTTGTTCACTTTAATAATAATACCTTAACTCCAACTGTATCTTCATTCTATAGCCTTATTTGTTGCAGGAGGAAATGATGAGAGGGAAACCTGGTTATGAGCACCTCAATGAACCACTCCACATCTTAGTCGAGGCAGAATTACCCATTGAAATAGTGGACGCACGTCTCATGCAAGCCCGTGAAATACTCGACGATCTACTTACTCCCGTGGTTTGTTCTTTGCTCTTTAAAGATCCTAAAATACATGTAGTATTTGTCCCTATAACCGTACTTATTTTATGTTTTGTTTTAGGAGGAAACCCATGATCTCTACAAGAAACAACAACTACGGGAATTGGCGCTTCTCAATGGTAGTCTTCGAGAAGAAGGATCTCCAATGTCTGGTTCCATCTCACCTTACAATAGCCTCGGCATGAAGAGAGCTAAGACAAGGGGCTAAAAAACACGTCTCAATTCATATTTTTCCTTGCCTCTCTCACCTTTCCAAGAAGGTATATATGCACCGTAACAGCTTCCTTCAGACAAGAAGGATTTGGAGATTCTGTCTCCATCCCATTCCTCCTCTTCCTCGGGCTACCGGTAGTCTCTAATCCCTGGAATAAAAAAAAAACACCATCGTATATGAATCTGTGTCTATCTTATTTATCATGTCCCGGAGAGAGTTCAGACGACAGAACTAGGGGCAATACAAAGGGATGAGTCTCTGTCGCTGTCTCTGTCTCTGTCGCTGTCTCTGTCCGAGACTATTTTTGGCTTGCTTGCTTTTTTTTTTTTTTTTGGTTCAGTGGAGACTACTAATAAGCTTTGTTGCGCTGTGTTGCTTAAAGCCAGTTTTTGGGTAAAACATCATGGTTTTGTGTTTGGTATGAATTATTCTGTTTGCGTTAACATAAACATTAACTAATATCTTTTGAGTTTTGATACTACTACATTCTGCAAACACAAAACATATATATAGACTTAGAAACTCATAACATTCAAGCCTTCTCATTGTTGTCTTCTTCGTCTTCATTCTCATCTATCCCAACCCACTGCGTAAATGCAAACAGAAACTCTTTGAAGTTCACCATTCCGTTCTTGTCCCAGTCCATTTCCTCTGCAAAAATAGGAATCAAAATCAATATTCTTGGCTCATTGAAGGAGAAAGCTTGAGAAGAAGAGGGAGGGAGTTAAAGAGTCAACCAAATCTCTTCATTGCAATCCGCCCGGAGGATCGTTCTCCAGATTCATCAATGGCTCGGACCATCTCCTCGCGGCTAACGTACCCATCCTTGTTCTCGTCCAGGAACACAAATGTGTCCACAAGCGTCTCGAATGTCGGTTCCAGCTTCGGCATTCCCATTGTCCATTTCTATTCATCATACAATAAAATCTCAGAAACCATGAACAACAGATAAACCGATCAATCTAAACCGAGCATAGAAGATCTATGATAATACATCTGCGGTTACCTTTTGGAGAGTGGATGAATCGTCTTTAAGAAGATAGACGAGGCACAGAAGAACAATGAACTCTGTAAATGTAATTCCCATATCCTCGTTAATATCACAAGCCTTGAACAAATCATTTATCTCTTCTTCATCGAACGAGATCTCTAGCTTCTTGATACAATTCTTTAGCTCTGTGTGATCGATAGACCCGTTTGAATCCTCATCTGCCCAAAACCAACCAAGTAAACAACCATCAAATCATGAGATACCCGCAATTTAGAATCTGCCACGTATGCACTCACCAAATTCTTGGAAAATGGCTTTGCAGTTTCGAAGACCATCATCGATCTTTGGGAACTTGAGAACAATGCTGTTGAAAGATTTCATTGTGGTGCCTCTCGATGCCCTGCGTTGCACGGCTTCTATGATCTTAGCCTCCAACTTTGTCTCTGGAACCCATTCTTTTTGCAGAGTTTCAGATTTCGTCACTGCACCTCCCATGTCTCTGTTAATTTGTCTGTGCTCGGAGATCAGATCGTAGATTCACCCCGAGACAAAAATCTAGTTTCTTGTAAGACAAGGCAGCTTAACGTCTTGGTTGTCCAAAATATACGAACGTTGTCTGATTCCAAGACTATCAAAACCAGATCTAGATTCAATATATGAGGGTAAAATAAAAACTAAATCGAGACATAATAGATAAAGGACACAGTATATAAATGTCACAAGAATCAGGACGAAAGCAAACAAAAAAGTAAAAGAAGAGAAGAAGAACCTGTTTTAGTTTCTTGTTTGTCTCGAGATCAAAAGTCAAAACACAATCACACAGATCTGTTTATTGTTATAATTTTTAACCAGAGAAAAAAATATATATTTGATGTTTGAGAAGAAGAAAGATTTTGTAATGGCGTGAAGAATGCTAAAGCTTCCACGTAATTGCGCATCTTTACAAAAAACGCTAATCCATTTGTCATCTATTTATTATTTTAACACAAACTCTCCATCTTCATTTGACTTTTCTCTATTTTACTACTTCCTTTAATTTGTTTCTAAAAGTTTACTTTTCTAGATTTTTTTCCTTGTTTCTTAAATATTGGATTTTATGTTTTCTATGTAATTTTTGTAATTAATATTGTTAAATTTTAGGCATCTAAGTCATTTAAAAAATTACAAAAAAAAATAATATGGCAAATTAAAAAAATATATATATATATATGTTTTAAAATTCTTCCGAATTAATAATGTTATTATAATACTTACGGTTATATCTTGTTATTCTTTAGTTTGGATTGACTTCATGCTTTTGATAGAGAAAAACAAATTTGTATTTTGAATTTAACATTAATATATATGAAATTTGATAATATTTTTTTTTTAATTTATTTGTTGTTTCTTTTTCTTTAATATATAAAGGGTTTGATAAAAAAAAAAAAACTTTTTGCCAAAACGCTTGCGGAAAAGAGCTTTTGAAATTCAGCAATTTCGAGCGGTTTAGAATGATTTCCGAACGGTTTGAAGTTATTTCTATGATTGGTTTTAAACAAGTCTGTGCCTACATGGAAATAATATAAACTTTCGCCTATGTTTATTTTTTTTGTAAGTTTGCATTATCTATATATAAATTTCTGTATATATAACAACTACAACCATAAGCTATGAGTCTACGTTCATTTTTTAATATTGAAAGTAACTTTCTAATTTTTAATATTGCCTACGTTCATTTTTTAATATTGAAAGTGACTTTCTAATTTTGGGTAACATAATTTATGAGTCTTTTAAATTATAATCTAGTTAAATTTTTTAAATTGAATTAAACATTAAAACAAAGAAAATATTAGAGTAACTAAATTCTTTACTTTGTTCTAAATCACCAATTTAAATTATTTTGATCTAATTTTTTTATAGTGACTATACATCTATCAATCTGTTATAATTACTCAAATAACTTAAATAATCAAGAAAAAATGATCAAAAATTTGCAAAAAATTAAGAAAAAGATGAGCAAAACATAAGTAATATATTTTAAAGAACTGACTAATAAATCGACCACCTAATCAAGTTATAAGATTCTTAGTTATGATTTATGTTGTTGATTCATGTTTTTTAGATTAGATTAATAAAGCTTAAGCATATTGTTAAAAAAATAAATACTTTGTTGATAAATTGTCTTAAATAGCCCTAAATCAAGTTTTTGGGACAAAAATAGCACTCAAAAGTTTAATGGACAAAAATAGCACCTTATTTTTTATTTTTTAAATAAATACAAAAAATCACAAATTCATCTTTATATTTTCGCGCCAAAAACAAATCCAGTCAAAAAAAATTTCCGACAAAATTTCCCGCTCCCGGAAAAAAAAAAGATGTCGTCAAAATATTCCCGCCAAAAAAATTTTCGTCCGACTTTTCCCGCCAAAAAAAAATCTAAGAAATTCAGCAAGGATCCACGAAATTTAGGAAAGGTTTCACGAATGAATTACGTGGAATCCTTCCTGAATTTCGTTGAATCTTTCCTGAATTTTGTGCAATCATTTAAGGAATTCTTTCCTGAAATTCAAAGAATCTTTCCTAAATTTCGTGGATTTTTTTGGCGGGAAAATTTTGACGGAATTTTTTTTCGCGGGGAAATGGTGAAAAAAAAATTTTGGCGGGAAAATATTTTTACTTTGCGGAAATTTTTTGGCCGGAAAAATAAATTTTGGCGGGAAATTTTCAAATTTATTTATTTATTTATTTTAATTAAACTAATTATTCATATTTAATAATTAATTAAAGTTTATAGTGCTTTTTTGTGAACTTTTCAAATGTCGTGCTATTTTTGGAAGAAAAACTTATTTTAGTGCTATTTTTGTCAATCTCCCAATTTTGTTTATTGGTGTAGTTTTTTTTTTACAAAACGATGATATTTTTAAACTTTGATTTTTTTTATATATTCGTCTGATCTCCATATATATTGGTATTGGTCTTGTTTTAAACGTTAGCAACTGCAACCGTCCATCAACACAGTGTTAACGGGAAAACCAATCATGTCGTAAGTATGTTGAAATGAGAAGGATGAGCTATGATCGTAAACGTCGCCTCTTTATATAGCATAATGGAAAACCGAATACTGTGTACAATACCTGGTTGATTTGGGTTTTACACTCAACCACATTAAATAAACAATTGAGCGAATAGTTTCTAGGGCTCAAAATGGATATATATATATAACTTGGTCTAAATTTGTCAATCTATGTCTAAATCGTTATAATAATCCTCTTTATACAAAGTCAACTTTAGAGTAACGTAGGTACGATGATATTATCGTCTCGAAATTTAATAGGGTTTCTAAAAATAACTAGATATTTGGGCTTCTTAATTAGTTACGAAACAAACATAAACTATTGAAGGGTTATTGTATATTTTGGTTGTTTAATTATTTTGGCGTTTTTGAAACAACCACCGTTTAAAAATTTGTAAGACATTAATTTCGCCATAAACTCTTTTTCTTATGTATTTCTTCTTTGAAAAGGTTTCAAACTCATGTAACAACAATTTCATGGAGCTGATATTATTATTCTTCCTTCTTATGGCATTATTGGTATCTATCTCCTCTTCAAGTTCCATATCGGGTATGTCTTTTTGTTGTCTTCCTTCTCCACCCTCCATAATGAATTTGTTTCTAATGGGTCGTCGCTTTCTGTAGATAGTGTGTTCGAATCACAAACCTCGGTTAGTGGAAGGAACCTCCTTCATGCCAAGAAAAGTAATAGCATCATCCTTTTAATTTGTTAGTCAGATTTGTTAATTTACTTCTGCTTTTCATTTTATGTTTTCGTCAATGGGTGAATATAGAACAATTAATGTACATATATATGATGTATGTTATGTATTCCACGTAGACTCATAACAAAACAAATTGACAAAACAATTTTTTTGAGCTATTAACCAAAAACAAAATCAAACAAATAGTTTAGTCCAATCTTGATTTCAAGGACTATTATTTTGTATCCGTACGGTTGTCAGAGTTTTTGAAGGAAAACTTCAAATTCTTTAATTTGTCCTATTTATTGAAGTTCTTAATTTAATTTGGTCATATATATAGCTTGGCCTGGTGATGATTATGACGTAACGTAGGAACATCGTACTCTTACATGAATTTTGGGCCCTGTCTATAAGCTAGCAGGGGCGGACCCACATGGTAATTAGGGGGTCAGCTGCACCGGTTAAATTTTGAAATTCTTTAATGATCCTTAACAAAATTATTGAATGCACCCCCTAAAAGTTTTTGTTTGCACCCGTTAAAATTTGTCTCACCTTTGGTTTCCATTTTTTAATGGCAATTACTTAATGCTATGAGAGAGAAATGCTCATATGAGAAAATTTCATTTATATCCGAGAGTAATTACGAGATAACTTTTGTTAAGACTAATGACAAAAAAATCTCAATTAAATAGTATAACAAATAACCAATTAACAACTATCTATTTTAAATATGAAGAATCATTTATTCATATCATTCATAAATATTTTCACCAAAAATATCATTCATAAATATATTTGGTTTTACCTTTTTGATAGTTTAGGATATTGTTGTCTATTGAAAATACAGTAGCTTTGGCAAAAGTGGATATATGATGCAATTATTGTTTTACTTAGAGAAAACAATGCTGATTAACATGAAGTGAAAAGAATTTTTAGCTAACTTTTCTTTTGCTGCAAAAAGTATTAATAAAAATGAAAAAGAAGAATAGAACTTCTATAAATTTTACTTTTCTTTCATCTATTTTTCTACCTTTTTTTTTTAATTTTGTACTTCATCGTTTATTTCAATATTTATTATCTTTTATGTTTCTGAAATATTTGTATATTTTTTTGTCATCGAAATATTTGTATATTTTTTATTTAATATATATTTATTTTAAATATATATTTTGACCCGGATAAAAATATTTCCTGGGTCCGCCACTGTAAGCTAGATATGTTTAATCTGTAGACTTCGGTTATGTTTTGGATTTTTCAGCTTTGGTTTCAGTTAAAAAAAATCAAATTGTATCATTAGTTAGTCTTCTTAATTAAGAAAAAAATGTATATATATTTTTTGTTTCGGGGTAGATTTGGATTACCAGATGAAGAAAAATGAATCAATGTCAACCAACCATCATACAATTCGGTTTGGTTCACAGATAGGTTATTTGGTTCGGTTTCAAATCTGACCGGATCAGTTATATCAAGTTTGTGTAAATATAAGCGGTGTGACACTTGACTCTTGTCTTTGTTTGCTTGGAAACAGAATGTGAAGTGAACTTTGAGTATATGGACTACAAGTCCTTGACAAAGCGGTGCAAAGGTCCAGCATTTCCAGCCAAAGAATGTTGCTCTGCGTTTAAAGAGTTTGCATGTCCTTACGTGAGTCAGATCAACGACATGAATAGTGATTGTGCACAAACAATGTTCAGCTACATGAATATTTACGGAAACTACCCTCCTGGCCTTTTCGCTAACGAGTGCAGAGAAAGGAAAGATGGAATTGTTTGCCCTTTACCACCTCTCTATTCTCCTCACCTAAATGCCTCAACCGCTGATTCGACCCCTCCTCGTCTCATCTCGCTGCTGATCTCTGCTGCGACCGCTGTTTTGGCTTTATTAGTGTTGACTTGATCAATCGAAGGAAATTGAAAGAGCTAAAGAGTGATTGCGTTTTGATACCATATTAGCTAACAAACTAGATAGAATTATCAAATTGTTCTGTTACTGACCAAGTGTAAAGAAGAAGCGAGATTTATCTTTGATTAATTTTATTACCAGTGGCAAAACTTATAGCCGAAATGTTAACAAGAAAAGCCAAAAGCCAAAAGCCAAAACAAAACTCAGTTTACATCAAAAATCAAAGCTCATGTGGGTACAACAGTATCTGGCTCTGGTAACAATTGAGACATGAGCAACAAAACTACTGTTGCCAGCAATACTAACTGTATAAGAAAGCATGAAGTGATCTTGCATGCTCTCTTCTTGATGGTTCCGGTGATTTCTATGCACTCGTTTTGCAGGTCTTGAGCTCTGTTTGTTAAATTTGCAGCCTTCGTTTGTACTCTTCCTAGCTTGTTCAGTGTCTCATGGTTTTGCTCTTCTGCCAACGACTCTTGTTCATCAATTAACTTCATCTGACTGTCTAAGTTATCGATAGATCTTGTATATATCAGATATTCAATCTCAGCCTCAATCTTCTGCCGAAAGATATCTTCAACTGCGGTCTCTGTTCCTCCCCACGAGTGTTTGTTTTGGTTCGTGGTGGATTCAAGCTCACGGATGTGTGATTCTTTCACCTCAAGCATGGACCTTGTTTCTTCTAGCATGTTCTCCAGTTGTTCAACATTGTTTACCAGGGCTACAATCTCCGAGTGAGGTGAACTTGCTTCGCTGACTTGTTCATGATGTTGTGGCATTGGTTCGTTCCCGATCTCCTGGAATTGCTGAACCTCTGCAAATGGAATTGCATAAAGAGTCACATTAAACATGATAATCATTGTTCATGTGATGTTATTAGTTGATTCCAACATGAGAATGCAGGCTTATAACAAAAAATAGGTATGGAACAGCAGTAAAAATAATGCAAGTTTAGATATAATCCACAACAAAAAAATTCAGAATGGCTACCTTTTTCAAGAGCATCTTGCAAGGCCAAGAAACCGTCGATGGCCTCTGTTAATGGATCAAGTTCCTCTGAGTAAAGATTGTTCGTGTTTATCGACTCTCCTCCTTCTCCTCCCGCATCATCTTTTCTCATTGACGTTTCCCCATTTTCTCCATTGTAGTCCATCATTTTTCCACTCTGCTTTCTTGAGTCAGATTCCAAGCTGGAATAAGAGTTTTCCTTGTCGATATCGACACTTTCTCCTCTCTGTTTCTTACTATTCTCTACACAAATTTTTCCTCCCTGACCTGAACTAATCATTGGCTTCTCATACCTAATAACCTTGGGAGCTCTTGCAGCCGTGGAGGACTTACTACTCCGATCATCATCTATCTCTAAATCCATACCAGCTGAAAAACCAATCCCTGCGACAAACCTAGAATCATAACCAGTACTCCCAAGTATATCAAAACCATCACCGGTACTTTTCAACATATTCACAGACCCAACAGATCCCTGACTCTCTTGTTCGACTTCCGGTGACTGAAACTGCATTTGTTTACCATGTGAATGACCAACAGCCGACAACACTCTCTTCAGAGCTTTACTATTCTCAATATTGGCAGACGTGTCCTTAACAAGATCTCTCCTAATCCTCCTCCATTTTCTCAAGCCTTGTCCTTTCAAAACCGGAGTGTAAGAACCACCACCACCTGGTGAATCAAAATTCATCGGTTTACCGATCTCAACAGATTTAGAAGTGGAAACCAGTTTGACACTCTCATCAGAGCAAGACCCGTTATCCAAACTCCTACCATCATCAGCAACGTTGCTGGCACTTTGTTGAATCATACCATTATCATCAACAGACTCAAGCGCAGAGCTTTCACTCTCTAAATCCATCTTCCCCCAAATTCACAATCTTCCAAAATCACATCGATTTCAGAAAATCAATAACCCAAAACCCGAAATGAAATTCAATCATACGGAATCAAAAAGTCAACTCAACAAGTTACAAATTCATTCACGGTTAAATACAAATATAAAGGTCTAAAATTTCCTACCATGCCACCATCTATCGGATCAAGAAGAGAAGAAATGATTCCAAAAATGAAAATCCAGCTCAATGGAAGAACACAGATTTCGAATTGAATCGCAGAATTTTGGTGTTTTGGAGAAAGGGTACAGCAGAGAGATGAAAAAGGAGGGTGTAAAGTGAAAACCCTAATCCGATGATCGGATTCGCAGATCTATAATTCTCTCCTTCTTTGTGGCAAAAAGTTTATTCCTTTTTTCCTCACGATCATTTTTTGTTCCATTTTTAAATTACGGTTATTTATTTTATTTAGCATAGACGTGTGGGTGGTTGGAATATAACACGTGGCGAAATCGCCTGCCTTCTCAGCGCAAACTTAGTCATTTTTGACCGTCAGATTCGACACCTCATAAAATATACCGTTGACATTCGTACATACTATATCAGTGGTATTACAATTTCAGAAATTGTTGAACTAACCTAAAACATGGGGGGACACTGGAGAATAAACAGATAGAATTACAAAGGGTACATACAACCATAAAACACCAAAAGTCACAATCTTACATCTGAGAGGATTGAGATTAGCACAAACCATATTGGGCTACTACACACTCATTACACAGATTGAAGAAACACAAAAAAAAAAAAAAAAAAAAAAGAGAATCAGAAAGGCTTCTCGTACTCTCTAGCCGGAGGTTGGTGGTCCCAAGATTGCAAGAATGCTGCACAATTGCAAAGAAATAATGAAGCCAGCTCTTTAAGAAGCTAATAGAAAAAAAGAAAGATACTAGGGTTTGATATGGCCTTACTCAATGGTATTTCTCCCAGTGACATGAAGATCGAGTCATCGTCTGTATTATTTGGTACTTGGTCATTTCCAATAGCTCCCTGTGACGTTTTCGGTAAGTTAGTAACAAAAACCAATTCTCATATGACCCAACACTTGACAAGTAGAGTTAAGTACCTCTCTGTCTTGAAGGCTAACTGCGTTGTTATTCTGTGGAACACTATTGGTCTCCTGGTTTATTGGAGGAATGTTTTCAAAGGAATCAAGAAACTCTACCATCATGAGTCCTTCATTGTAGTCTGGGACGTCATCGATGCCCATATATGGAGCAGCTTCTTGCCTGTTATATATGTCAAAAACCCATTAACCAAAATGTAAAAGGTGTGTGTATATAAGTGTAAAGCAGGACTTAGCCGTACTTTCTTCCCGGATCATTGCTGGACTTTACCACTTCAGGGGAATCATCATCCAAATCAATCACTTCTATCTCTTTACCATTGCTCATCCGAGTACTCGTACCAAACTCAAGAGACTTACTAGAACTGCTGATTGAGAGATCAAAATCAACAGCTTGACGAGATTCCTTTTTGCCATCATTCACATCCGACGCTCCCCCTAGATTTAGGTCACAGATCTTAAACGAAGCAGGAAACAGCTGATGTTCTTCAGCATACCCAGGACCTGTTTTGCCAGTGCGTGTCCTATTGTGTGTAGAGTTATTAACCAGACTTTCATGGCTGACCCTTCTTCCAGTAGCACCATCAATCAGTCTTTTGTTGAACGAGCTTGTCTTTTCTTCTTCTTCTGGATTGCGTTGCGTTTTGCTTGTCTTAAATATGTTGAAGCGTTCATTGGCTTCAGGGACTGGCAAAGGCACCCAATCTCTCTGTCTTTTTGCTTTCTCCTCCAAGTCACTGCCGCCTTCACCAACCCGTTTCTCACCTACTTTCCCCACCGAATGTGATCTGTGCAGATTAGGCAATTCTAATCCTGAATCTTTCTCACTGTTATCCCTGAGAATGCTACTAGGGAAAGAATTAGACCTATGACATTTACTGTTCTCATCATATTGAACAAGAGCCAAATCTTCAACTTGGTCATTGAAATTTTCATCACCAGTACTATCAGCCTTTCCAGATGATTGGCCTCGAGTCTCACATCGATGTTCAGTTTGATCTTCTTCTAGAAGTCCAGAATTATGAGAAATATCCTTGATAGTTTGACTCAAATAAAGCTTTGGGCCTTTTGCAGTCAGAGAAGAGCGTGTTCTCGTAGGCACCTTCTCAAATTTACACAGCGTTGCCAAATCAATACCACTCTTGGTGAATGATTCATCAGCCCCACACTGTTGATCAATAGATGCATCTTCAGAACGTTGATGGATAGATCCATCTTCGATAGCAGACTGGTTCTCATTCTCTCCACCATTACCACCAGACCTACCTTTCATCTCTCCTGATCCAGCACTCAAACTAGAAGAGCCTTCTGATACTTTTGAGATTTCACAATCGTGTACTATTTCTTTCCCGGCACTCGAGGAACCTGTCTTAGACTGTGCCTCATCTTGGAGATTGTACTTTTCCAACACAGACTCGGAATCACCAGCTCCTTCACACTTTCTCAAAAATTCACCGGAGGCTGACCGCTGAACCGAGCTAGCAATATCTTCAGCAAGCGGCTGCTCTTCTTGATGCCCAGACACAGAGTCGTCACCAGTCTCAGTCTCAAAAGCTTTAGTTCTCTCTGACCAAGATCCGCTCCTCCCGAAATCCGAGTCATAACGGTTGGATCTCCTTCCTTTCAAGCTATTCCTGGAGCCAGCTGAGCTATAGCCATCAATATACCTCCTCTTATCTGCGGCTGGAGCTGAAACATCCATTCGAGCTGCTTCTTGTGACCTGGAACTCTGAAACTCTCCAGCTTGCTTCCTAAAATTAGCATTCTGCCATTTACTGGAAAGCACAGTTGGTGGTAGAACACCCTGAGAAACCAAGTACTCTGTTGCTAGACGACCAGCCTCCATGAAAACGTCACCACCACCGCCACTGCTTCTACGCTGCACCGGTGGAGGAGGCAGAGGCGGAGGCAGCTGATTGTGGTATGATTTAGAGCGTCCCCTTCCACGTCCATATCCACGGTTAAAGCCACGGTGTTGGTGTTCATAGAACCCATGTCCTCTCATAGGACGCTCAGGGGAAATTCTAGAACCAGACATCCCCATTCCAATTGAACCAGATCTGTAACCATTCCCAACATTGCGTTGCCTAGCATGCATCTTTGTCCCTAAATATACAAAAACCCTAATAACAGCTCTGATTTCAAGGAAGTCACAATAGTAGTGAAACCATTTGTCTCAAAAGAAAGTTATTTCAGAAAAAATAACAACTTTGAGGTTTTTGCAGCAGCTCAAATAAGTTTCACCAGACAGAAACTAAGAACACAACAGCTTCAGCTTGAACTTGTTCTTTTCGGACCAACTCTTGTTCAGTCACAACGAGACATAGAGAAAATCAAACAAAACGAAGGATCTCGAGTTCCAGATTTCGGTGAAGATCTAACCTTCTCTCTTACCGAATCCGACGATCATTCGATTCCCTTGTCCGATTTCGAAGAAACATCATCTGATCTGATGGGAGATTTTAATGGTCATTTTCACTTCAGTTCTTCTTCATCAAATAAGAACCCTAGAATTCCCCCACAAACCCACAGTCAAATGTTACGTCAACAGAAATCAAATCGAGGTAAAATATTCCGATCTATGGTATCTCCGATGAAGAACACGAACAAGTGTGTATTAATCAGTCTCCAGATTTCAGCGGCGAAAATCTCGATCGCTGCTGATTGGGATTTTGGGGTTTTCGCATTTTTATTTGCGTCAAGTTTTTTCTACCATATATTTTAGCCCAAAGACTGGAAAGCATGAAAACGCCACGTCAGCTTCATTGGTAAACTAGCACTAAGTTCATTTCCACCTCACGCGTCTTCCGCCGCGCCTGAGTTACACTCTCCTTCTTGTACTTATGTCATGTCCAAATTATGTTATGGTTATGAGATTACAATTTTTTTTTTAAATGGCATGTTCGAACTGTTTTATTTGAAGATACAAAGGGCGAAAATATATATATATATATTCGAAGATACAAAGTGAGATGGTGCAACCAGAGGAGAGCTATCATCCTCGCTTACAATGCAAAACCATACGGAAGCTAAAGAAACCAAAAATCTAATGTACAACCAAATACATGTAATACCAATCAAGAAATTCTTTGTGCAACTTCTTATCCAGTAATTCAAAGTTATGATTGCTAGAACTTAGAATATAAAGAACAACACTTCTTTATTAGATTTAGAAACTCTCACAAAATTAAATCTCTTCTCTCTAAATCTCATGGAACATCCTTCCATTGACCCTTGTATTATATAGAACTTGGACATCTCCCAAGTCTATTAGGATTAGGTCAAACAGAAACTCTAACTAGATACTTTATCATTATCTAAAACATATTTGTGAATATCCTTACTTATCTCTATAAGCTTCTTCTTCTAAGAGATAACTTCTTCTTTTAAGTCTTGAATTATCCAACAGTAATATTATCATAAACAATCTAAATATTTACGACGAAAAAAATAAAATAAAAATCGCAAATCATCGTTTTGTCGTTATCATCTTTAAACGTTAGATGGAAATTTAATGGTACGAAGCCTAAAATATTTTGTTTGGTTTTCCAAAAATATTGATTTTTAAAAGTCACCTATTGTTAGTTTACTAATTCTTTACAAAATTAAATTATTTTCATATTTATCTTTATAATAGAATATAAATTTTGAAAGATATTTGGTACATTCCATTTGAACTTTCATTATTGTCCATATTTTAGCTCCACGACTTGTTGACTGAAACAAAAACTAAAAATCCACGACATGAACTGAAATGATAAAATGTGGATATTCATGTTCTACAAATTGTCGGCTTTTACAGTTTAGTCTCTCACAAAATCAGAAATATTGGAACATTATCTAAAAATTCATAAACAAGATATGTCTCACCAAAAAAAATTCATAAACAAGATATGTAGGTAACAAACTGGCTAGAGTTTCTAATTTCTATATATGAACAAGAACTGAACTAAGCTACTGCTAGTTCGTTTTTTAAACTAGCGAAACCAAGTTTACTGGCCAAAATGATAGAAATGTTATTTTTCTGTGGTTGGAATATTTTTGACAAATTTATTTCCTTTTAACTGATTATTGTAACTTAATCACTTATATACTAAATATAGTTTGCAATTTAGATTTGTTGTTCCATGTTTTTCTAACAACTAGCTCTAGCTAGTAAAGCCAACAACAACCCGAGTGGTGTTTTAATTATTCTATATCATTCCGTAGAAATAGTACTATAGACTATGCTCGTTTGATCTAATAAGTAAATGGTAGAAACATCAATTTGCCAGTTTAATATTCAGCTCTTGGTAATAGTTAAAGAAAGGCTCATGTCATGCATGGTATTACTGATGGACATGCACTGATTAGACTAAATGAAGGATATAGCTTACGATATACAAAAGAAGACTAAACACAAATAAATTGTATCTCTCTCTAAGAGACAAAAGAAGATAAAATACAAGTACTTTTTCTATATTAAAAATAATAATAAAAAAGGCTAAACAAAAATCGGTATGTGGAGAACAGTAATCGTCGTCACGATCGGAGTTAAAATTTAACTATGTGATCTAAAAGACTCCAAAAAATAGGCCATTATCCACAATCCTCTATTTTCATCTCATCTTCACTTAAAATTATATATATAAAAAACGCTGATTATTCTTTATAAAAAAAAACACTGATTATATTTAGATATTTTTTAGAAACGTACACGAATATTTTAGATTTATAGAAAAGCACGCAAACAATGTTAAGTTCAGTTTAACACTCAAAGCTTCACATTTTTTATACACAATTAACTTAACAAATGTTTATTTAATTAGATATCTTTTGTTATTGTTGTTAGTAGTTAATAATGTTTCCAATATGTTAATGCATGTTAAGCCGACGGTGTAAAACACAAGAACTATGAGTCTATGACAAGTTTGAGTACTAAAACCGAACTAAATGTTTTATAGGTGTCTGTTTAGAAAACAAAAAGAATAGTGTATATGTCTAAAAATAGTTAAACTGTTGGTGGTTTTTTTGGGAATTAATTAATTACACATTGTAGAAAAGAATTTGAACTTTTTCGTTTGTTAGATAATTAAGGAGAAAATTTATCAACCAAGCTGTGTAAATCTCTTGTAGTTTTTTTTATACATCTTCATTGTGTTTAGGGTAAAAGATAACCAAGAACGAGAGAAGAAAGCAAGAGATTTCTACTACAGAAGATTTATTGTATTCCTTTTGATCATTTTGTGTGATCAACCCATAAGAACAGAGAGCAGAGATAGGAAGAGGAACAGAGAAATGTCCCATGTTTCGATCTCTCTTACTGTCTAAACGGCGAAAAATAAAATCTGATCGGTGTCATTTACTCCATGAATATTAATTAATCAGGTAATAATCACTCTTTTATCTCCATTATTACAAGTTTTCACTCTTTTATCTCCATCGTTGTAGAGTTACGTTGTGTTTTTGGATGCGAGACGCATAATCTCACCTTTTACTTGAAACTTATTACAAAAGGCTACTGTTCTGTTTCCATTTTTAATTAATTTTAAGTGTTTTTATGGTACATAATGTCATGTATCACCTGATCTCATTTCAGGTTGAGCCCAAGTTAAAGCTGAATCTTGGGTTTGTAATGGCTGGTTTTGATAATGAAGCTGGTGTAATGGGAGAATGGTTTGACTGTAGTATTAACCACAGGAAGAGATCAAAAGCGGAACTTGGTAGAGACTTTTCTTTAGAATACATCAAGAAAGAGGATTCTTTGCATACCAGCTTTCAAGAAACACCGAGTTGTTCACGAGGAGCTCTTCGTGAAAGGATTGCTGCGAGATCTGGGTTTATTGCACCAAGGTTAAACACTGAAGATATTCTTCAGTCGACATATTTAACCATCTCTTCTCCTGGTCTTAGTCCTGCAACTCTGTTAGAGTCTCCTGTTTTCCTCTCAAACCCTTCGGTAACTTTTTCTTTTCAACATTTCATTATCGTGTCTCTCTTTCGTGGATCCGTGTCTGAAATCTCTTATCACTTGTAAGCTCAGCTATCTCCGACAACCGGGAAGCTCTCATCACTACCTTCTGATAAGGCTAAAGAAGAGTTATTTGACGGCATTACCACATCCTTAGCCTTCCAATCCATTTCAGGAAGTAGCCTTGATCCTACAAACATCGCTTTAGAAACCGATGATTCCCAAGACTATGAGGAAAGACAGCTCGGCGGTTTAGGAGACTCGATTGCTAGTGGTGCACCTGCAGATGATGGATACAACTGGAGAAAATATGGACAGAAGCTAGTTAAAGGAAGTGAGTATCCGCGGAGCTATTACAAGTGCACGCACCCGAATTGTGAGGTCAAGAAGAAGGTTGAACGGTCTCGGGAAGGTCATATTATAGAGATCATATACACAGGAGCTCATAATCACCCCAAACCTCCACCTAATCGCCGCTCAGGGATTGGATCATCCGGTACAGGCCAAGACATGCAAATAGATGGAACAGAACAAGAAGGTTATCCTGGAACCAATGAGAACATAGAATGGACATCACCTGTATCTGCAGAGCTGGAATACGGAAGCCATTCTGGATCAATGCAGGTTCAAAGCGGGACTCAGTTCGGATATGGTGATGCAGCAGCTAATACCTTATTTAGAGATGAAGATGAAGATGATCGCACGTCCCACATGAGTGTTTCCCTGACTTACGACGGAGAAGTAGATGAATCCGAATCAAAGAGAAGGTGAGAAAAGTTGCCCTAAACAACCATTAAAATACTTAGAAAGACAAGACCTTCTGACTTCTGATGCCATTCACATATCAGGAAACTCGAAGCTTATGCAACAGAAGTGAGTGGAACAACCCGAGCTAGCCGTGAGCCAAGAGTCGTGGTGCAGACCACAAGTGACATTGACATCCTCGATGATGGTTATCGCTGGCGCAAGTATGGGCAAAAAGTCGTCAAAGGAAACCCGAATCCAAGGTTCTTGTATTCAAATACTCTGTTCTGCTGCTCTTTCTTTGTTGCAGCTTTTGTCCATGAATTTCATCACAATCTGTTTTCTATGATATGTATCAGGAGTTACTACAAATGCACAGCTAATGGATGTACCGTAACAAAGCATGTAGAGAGAGCCTCTGATGACTTCAAGAGCGTACTAACGAGTTATATAGGCAAGCACACCCACGTTGTGCCAGCAGCACGCAACAGCAGCCATATCGGTTCAGGCAGTTCAGGGACTCTCCAAGGTGGTTTAGCGACTCAGACCCATAACCACAATGTGCACTATCCAGTGCCACACAGTAGATCTGAGGGACTGGCCACAGCCAACTCATCACTATTTGACTTCCAGTCACACCTGAGGCCTCCTACAGGTTTCTCCGCTTACATAGGCCAATCTGAGCTTTCTGATCTTTCAATGCCTGGTCTAACTATTGGGCAAGAGAAGCTTACCAGCCTGCAGGCGCCAGACATTGGTGATCCAGCTGGCCTAATGTTGCACTTAGCAGCAGAGCCAAAGGTTGAAGCAGTGTCTTTACAGGGACTTGATTTGTCACCGAGCTCATTGATATACAGAGAGATAATGAGTAGATTACCACAGATATGAAACAAATCTCTTTGTTCACTGATTGTTCTAATTTTTGAATAAATGGTTCTGAAATTTGAGGGAAGGTAAAAGCTGAATTGTTTTTAAAGTCTTGTCGAAAAATTTAGTTAGGCCTAAACTTAGCTTCTGAGTTCTGTCTAAACAAAGCTTAAGCAGAAGAACTTCTTTAGTTGTTTGGTTCCGAAAAGGAAATGCCTTAAAGAGTATTAAATTTTCACTTAGGGACCAGACCACAAAAAAGAAAAAAAAGGGTTTTACACTGAAACTAATCTTTACATGAACACATTCCTACCGCCGCCTCTTCGGCTGTGTTTGTCGTATGCAGTGTTGAATTTGTCAACCACCTCGTTCATGTTGCTGCAGTTTGGAAAACAAAAAGTAAGAGATCAAATATACAAAGGATTCTTTCAAGATTGGTCAAGGTATAGCACAAGATTAGTTTTTTTTTTCAAAAAAGGTTTATATTCCCTTAGTTCCTACGTCTCACTATCTTAATTATAACAAGGATGGTTGAGCAAGGTCCTAGATTTAGTTCTTAACCTAAATAACACAAACTATCTCAGTGTCTACCTAAACCAAGTACTTGTGATCTTATCTGTCTTGGTATCGTAAAACATTACATTGTATCAAGCAAAAGACAAACATTTGCATGTCTGTCCATCATTGTTCTTCACATAGTTTAATGGAATATCATGTCGAGTACATACCTGGTACAATTCGTGATCATTGCTAGGTAAGACATCAGCAATTTGTCGTTGTACTCCTGCAAAAAAAGAGAACATCATATATATAAAGATATCATTCACAACAACAAGTTACATTAAGAATTTAAGAGATTCGAATGCCACTTTTTTAACCAACATTGCTAGAAAAAGGTAAGGCACTACTTACCATCAAGAAATTTTCATGAAACTTCTCTGATTCTGCGGCAGGCAAACTTCTGAGCAGACTAGATACTTGTCGAAAAAGTGCGTTGTCGCAAGGAATATCACCTAGATGCAGAATCACATAAGTCATAAGTACCACATTACTCTTGCTCAATATCATCTTCTAACCCCCTTTTTATTCCTTCTTCCCCGTAGGAAAGAAATATTTCAGGTAAGATCAAGGGACAGGTCACAAAAACGTGATAAACAAATTGAAGAGGAGACTGGAGAGTAGGGACTTGAGCAAGAATACAATATACCTTTCTGCATAGCGACAATATACTGATAGAGCACTCTGATTCTGCTATTAAGCATCTTGATGGCACTATGTATTCCAGTAAGATGAGCAGCCACTGCACAACATCGAGGAATCAACCTAAAATTCCACGCAGATGAAAAGAAAAGAAAAGATTGTGATAAATATGGAGGGTATAGTAAGTCTTACATTGGGTCGCTGCTGAGCCTCCATCAGATGGCTTGAGATGTGCAACATGATCAACCGATATTCTTTCAGCTTCAACTGTCTGCACGCGTTTACAATCATTGCTATGTTATTAAAAGTCCACTCTCATATCACATAGATAGATTACAGATCAAGTGACATTAAAACACACACCTCAATAGTGTAGCTTGTATGAACGAAAATCGACTGAGGAACTCCATCAATGACATGGAATTCTTCAAGTTTTGAAGACAATCAAAGACAGGATTAAAAAGGTTACAATCTTTAAAAGAAAAAGATAATCAATGATGCAAATAACCAATTTACCGCTTTCGTAGATAGTCACAGGAAGATCCTTCTGTGCATGATTGATAGCAGGATTTAGAAGAACATACACAGGAGATTCGTTAATGTCCATCAGCTGTAGATGAAAACCTCACACAATCAGTACAATGAGACCCCAAATTCAACCATTCATATTAAACAAAGAAGCTACACTCACAGCTTTGTGGATATGCATATCAGATTCCGTAGCGTCGCTTCCCGTCGAATACCATCCCAATACGTAGAAGTCAGGGAACACCTTCTTGTCTAAATCCGAAAAAAACTCACAAATTAGCATAGCAACAACAGAGAACAAAAGTGAGACGATAAAGAGAGCGAGTGTCAGCAAACTTACAGAGTTCTTGCTTCTTCTCGAGGAAGGATCTGTCGAGAGTATCAGTAGTAGGATCGAACAATAGCTCGAAACTGTTGAAGATCTCAACCGTACGACCTCTCTGGAGACCGATCACGCAGCCATAAACCCTAGGGTTTTGCAGGAACGTCGCGTCGGCGTTGCTGGAGCCATTCCCGGTGGCGCAAGAAGCGGCGGGAGGACTAAGCTGAGTTTTAACCCTAGTGAAGTGATCGGATATGTTAAGCATCACCAGAGGATGTAGCTTGAACGTGAGACCGCTCGACGAAGAAGGCGCCATTGTTGTCGCTCTCGATTTTTTCCCGGCGCTTGTGATCGTCTCCTTTAGTCCCAAATTCCCAAATCGGATCTTAAAGTCGGGTATGAATCTTTATATAGTTGTTGGGCTTTCTTCCTAAGTGTAGCCCATTTAACCTTTTTTGTTAGAAAAAATAATGGCAAGGATTATAGCATGATAAGTTTGTTGTCAAAAAAAAAAAAAAAAAACTTACATATATAAAACTTTGAAAGAAATCTCTATTTTTTTAATATGAAATTTCTTGTATTTTAATTAATTTTTAAAAATAGACTGATTGGATTTTGAGTCATTACTCTTTGTTGTTGGTTTAAGTGTATAGAAATAAAATAAAGATCATCATGACTTGATTTTATTTAACATTATTGGATATGTTTGTAAGGTTTAATTTTCATATTTTATTATATGTTTAATCTGCTTTAATTATTATTTTTGTAATCTATTTTATTTTAAGTTTCATTCAATAAGAAAACTATTGATATTTTAAACTTGTTTTATTTTAGATATCGCAGATAATTATATATTATGAGTATTACCTATCAATATTTGACATAAAATAACAGTTTTACGTTCTTAATGAAAAAATTTAGAATAAATTTTCATGTATTTTCAAAAATTAGTTAAAACTTTATTATAATCTATAGTAGTTCAATTTATTTATTTAATCAAAAGGAAAATTGTATATAGTGCATGTGTGAGAAATTCCACATTAAAAATGAAAATAAACTTCAAGTAATATACAAGAGACATAAACTTACTCATAGACAATTAGTGTTAATAATATGTTATTTTAGATTTTATATCTACTATAACTCCTATGATAAATCTGTCATTACATCGTAAATTGCTTATCACTAGACACCAAACGGCCCCGTATCAGCGCACCGGCCAGCCGGAGCCTCTCCACCCTTACTCATATCAGCAACACACTTTTTTTTGTGTGGAAGTACCATTTTATAGATTAAGTACGGTTACAAGATAAGAACTAACAAAAGGTGGAACAAGAAGAACTACAACAAGCTTGATACACATCTAAGGCTGAAATAATTCAAACCAAGTAGATAAATAAAACACTGATGAAGGAAGGTTTCGTTGAGCCCTGAATTAAAAGAGGATCGAGTCGACACCGGACTGTGTTTTTGATATCATCAACACATTATTGGCTTTCAATCCTTACTTAGTTAATTGTTTGTGGTTAAATCATTCAAGCCTTCCTACAAATCATATGCTTCTTAAAAGCTTAGTTCATTTTACGGTAGATTTTTTCAACCTTATTGATCAAAGAATATCCGACAATATAATCATGCATGGGATCTCGTCAAACTCAAACGACATGCTTTTTGACTTATGGTTACTTTTTTCTTTTCTTCAGTCAACATCATCAAGTCATGGTCTCCGTTCTTTTCCACCATAGCCTTGACTTTGAAGAAGCGTGAGTGTAGTGCTATATGGAAAATTGGGAATCTTTGGGTGTATAGATATATATATATATATATATTTGGGTTGGATATGTAACATATTAGTATTACTATGATTCTTTTTTCAATTTATATAAACTAGTAAAGAGCACGATTCAGTTTTCTCACTGATTATTAGCAGATGATGGATTTGGTCGGTATTTAAATAACAGACCTATATATGTTCCGTTTTCCCGAAATCAACTGCCAAAAGTTTTCAACAAATTAACGATTAAGAAATATGAAAGTGACACATTAACACGTTAGATAATGCATTAAATATTCTTTCTTTTAATTTCTCTTTCTTCATTCTTTTTTCTTTTTACCTTCTTGTTTTTACCAAAATTTTGTTGATATTGGAAAAAAAATTGGAATAAAGAATCTACGAAGTGATACTATGGGTGTGACTGGAAGACATTAATAGAAGAAAAGAAAAAAGTAGAATTAGTTTTCTTCTACATTTACACCAGTCAAGAAGAAAATGTTTTCTTCTCAATTCTTCTGAAAAAGCCAAAAAGTAGATAAAACTTTTCCTCTACAAAACTAAAGTAGAAATAATTCTTCTAAAAATTTATTTTCTTCTCTCCTTATAATTCTTCTCAATTCTACTTAAATTTTCACCAGTCACACCCTATACTAAACTCGCTCTATGGTAGAATGTCTTTGCACCCGATAGCAAAAGTTTTCCTAGAAAACTAATTTATGCCTAAATGTATATCAAAAGAAGAAAATAATCTTTAGTGGACACTGACAGACAACGACTAGTTCTATTTCTATATGTAACCATCAATTCATCTTTCTAGATAAAACCAAAGTTAAACGCAACTGCTAATCTCTTCTTCTTTTCTTTTGTCAACCACCAACTGCTAATTTCTTTAGACTCTAGAGAAAGCGACATATCTTCATTATTTCATAATATAAATACAATTTTATTAATACTTAATTCAAATTGCTTGGGAAACATTGATGAAATTAATCTAAGCATCTACTAACAGAAAGTTTTGTAAATTTCAAAAATTTTCTCCTAACGTCCCTCTCAGAAATTTGGGTTCTCTATTCTCCTGATGCTTTCTGCTTTTGCTAAAAGTAAATGTTTCTTTTTTTTTTCACGCTATAACCCATGTTAGTAAAATCATATACCAATCAACTAATTCTTCCATGGAGACTAGCATTATTAAAACTAATGGCCACCAATTTATGGAAAATCTCAGCTCAGAAGTTTCATTCAACTAATTTAATATCCAACTTGTTCCACACTTGTGCAAGTTTCAATGGTTACCACTAACAAGTAACAACTAGTAAGACTTTTTCATTAAAATTCTCTTCTATTTTCGGTTTTAGGAAGAGTTTTCGAAAGTCTATAAATAACACAAACCAAACCACTAGTTAAGTTATATATATATGTCGAAAGTCCACCTAGAATTTTAGGATTTTGGTTGTAATTTTTTAAAAATAAGGTATAATATTTTTTTAAAAATTGTTCATAAATTAATGCAGTCCAATATTTCTAAGTTATTTGAACTTTGAAGGACATGTTATGTCTTAAATTGAAGTTAAAATAAGCCCTTTAACAAAAAAAAAATAAAAAAATTTGAGGTAATTAAAACGACGACGCAGTATACCTTGATCCTTATTGTTACCGAGTGTATATATAGAGACGTTACGTTTGATCCTTATTGAGCCATCAAGATTTAAAACCAAATAGATACTTATTTAATTTACTTAATTGTTAGTATAACGTTCACACATTTTCTTACACATCTACAACTAAATATGGAGTCGTCACAGAGCCTCGAGCACGTGCTCTCCATGCAAGGTGGCGAGGATGACGCCAGCTACGTCAAAAACTGTTACGGTCCTGCCGCAGCTTTAGCCTTGAGCAAACCAATGCTGACGTCAGCCATCAATTCCATAAAGCTCACCGAAGGTTACTCCTCTCACCTGAAAATAGCAGATTTAGGCTGCGCAATCGGAGACAACACGTTTTCCACGGTGGACACGGTGGTTGAGGTGTTACGGCAGAAGCTTGCCGTGATTGACGGTGGAACCGAGCCGGAGACGGAGTTCGAGGTCTTCTTCTCTGACTTGCCTTCCAACGACTTCAACACGTTGTTTCGGTCGTTAGATGAGAAAGTGAACGGTTCGAGCCGGAAGTACTTCGGGGCTGGCGTTCCCGGCTCTTTCTATAAACGTCTGTTTCCGAAAGGAGAGCTCCATGTCGTTGTGGCTATGACCGCTTTACAGTGGCTCTCTCAGGTATATATATATGTATCATCCACTGATTAGTTCAACATCTTTTGAATTAAGTTTACTGTATTCACTTATGTTGATTTTGATGAATATATGAAGGTGATGAATAATATTTGGGTATATAACATGATTTGAAGATTCTGTTTAAAAAATACTTTACTAGACTAATGAAACTGTATAAAACAAAATTCTAAATTATCGTTTCTTCTGATGTTAATGAACAATACCTCGAAAACAACAATTTAAAAGTCCGATTCTGATACTCGTTTACATATGACCGAACCAACTTAGTTTCTGTACCTGATTTTATTTTTGTTGTATCTATGGATAGAAAAATATTTCATCTTTAGGTAAAAAGAAAAAAAAAAGTTCATTTCCTTGTATTGGATATGATGATAGATACCCGAAAAAGTGATGGAGAAAGGATCGAAGTCATGGAACAAGGGAAGGGTGTGGATTGAAGGAGCAGAGAAAGAAGTCGTGGAGGCATACGCGGAGCAATCAGACAAGGACTTAGTCGAGTTCTTGAAATGTCGCAAAGAGGAGATTGTGGTAGGAGGAGTGTTGTTTATGTTGATGGGTGGTCGACCTTCTGGGTCAATGAGCCAAATCAGTGATCCTGATTCGAGTCTCAAACACCCTTTCACAACTTTGATGGATCAAGCTTGGCAAGATCTAGTAGATGAGGTAATCTCATGATGACGCATGATGTTACTACTTTTTTTTTTACGGAATTGACAAAATTAAACGTCCCCTTCTTTTTTAATTGGTGAGCTTGTAAAAGGTTTTGATAGAAGAGGAGAAAAGAGATAGTTTCAACATTCCGGTGTACTTTCGAACCACGGAGGAGATAGCTGCGGCGATTGATCGTTGTGGTGGCTTCAAGGTAGAGAAAATGGAGAATCTGAAAGTAGCTGACCACATGAATGGTAAGCAGGAAGAGTTGATGAAAGATCCGGATTTGTACGGTCGAGATAGGGCTAACTATGCTCAAACCGGTTTAAAGCCGACGGTTCAGGCCTATCTCGGTCCTGACCTGACCCGTAAGCTCTTCAAACAGTACGCAATTCGAGCTGCTGCCGACAAAGAAATTCTCAACAAGAATTGTTTCTATCATATGATCGCTGTTTCAGCGGTTAGGGTTTGATGTTATCTAGGTTACCACTTACCAGGTACATGCGTAGTGGTTTGGCATGGTGAAATAAGTAATTATCTAATTATCACACTAGGACCCTTGTATTTCAAATAATATTATAGTGTTTCCCATAACTTTTGAAATCTTACAATCTTTCCCCTATTGTGTAGTTTTAGTGGACTGGAGAAATATGTGGATAAATCAAATAATATTTGAGGAAACAAAAATTATACAAAGAATTGATCGGAAAAGTGAAACAAACCATTTATATATCACACAGTACGTGAAAGATGAGAAAAAGAGAACCTCGTGACCACCAATGACACTTTCCCACGTGACACTCATTAAAACGTCAAAATAAACTTAAAACTTTTTTTAACCCAAAACTTGAAGAAACTAACTCCCACCACCCCCGTATTCATTCCTCTCACACCACACACCACACACCACGATGGCTTCTTCTCCTTCACCATCAGTTTCAAATCTTTAAGACAGTAATATCTCAAATAAAACAAATGAAAGATCTTTCTTTCTTCCTCAAAAAATACTCTCTAGCCTCGAGAATGCGAGGACGAGGTCCACGAAGCGGCTTCGCAAGCTCTTGTGGCGGCGATGGTTCAACTTTGACACTAAACCAACATCAAAAGAACGATGTGGGGCCTTCTGTTACACCTGAAAACACTCCTTTCGGTGGAGGATCGCCGAGAACTCTAGAGGAGATGATACTTCAGCTAGAGGTTGAAGAAGATATTGTTCGTAGAGCTAGACTCCGTGAATCTTACTACGGTACTTATGATAATTGTGATGACCATGATGATGTTAATGATGATCAGTTGTATCATCAGCCCGTTCGGATGTCATGCGTTAACAGTTCCGATATTTTAAGGTGCACATGCTTATTTATATTTATACTTAGTAAATACTCTCATTAGTACTCATGAGCTCTTCCGTATAATTAACTTTTTTTTAGGTGGTAGTAATAAAGATGAATATAATAACGTTTTCAAGAGAAGAAAAAACTTTGGTTTCATGATCGATTATGTGAGATATTCACCGGTTTAGATTTAAATGTACGAAACAAGTTATATGACTACATTTTAAAGTGTGTTTTTTTTTTGAATTTTCTAGATTTCGTATCTGCTGAAATTTGTAGTGATGATAAACGAACTACGGGAAGAAATAGAAGGAATTTTATTGTGTATGATCAGTACTGATATCAACTTATGTTCGTCTGCTGTTAAGGTCGGCGAGGAACGCGTTGAATCAGTATCCACGTTTCTCACTGGACGGTAAGGACGCAATGTACCGGTCGTCCTTCAGGCGCCAGCTTGGTACCAGTGCTGACATGACGATACAGGGTGGACGGAGATCCCACTGCGGGGACCAACGGACCTCAAAGAGATCGAGCCAGATGAGCTTGGAGACAAAGCGCCTGCCACGGACAGTGGCCGGAGAAAGTGTGGTTTGGTGCAAGACTGGGGTTGTTGCAAAGCTGATGGGCCTGGAGATGATACCTGTTCCGGTTAAGGGGAAAACGGGAAAAGATAAGTTAGGGACTCTGCTCAAGAGGGAGCGTCTAAGGAGGAGAGAACGGACGCTGGACATTAATGGTCGGACCGGTCCGACAACAGAAGCTTCTTGCTCGTCTGGAGGGTTTAACATTACGAGACCAATCGGAGCAGTTGGGTCGCCTAGTCGCGTGGGTGGATGGCCCACAGTCCGTCTCCCATAGAAATACGTTTCAAAACTAGCCCATTTAAAAGACTTCATGTTATCTATAACTTTTCATTATGATTGATCAGTAACATTTTATGTTTCTAATAAATCTTCTAGACTAATAATAATTAAGGATTCTCCAAACCAAGCACACATATTTTTCTGACTCAATTAATTCTCTCTGAGCTAGAAATCTTAGGAATCAGGCAGAAAACACAGTATACAAGTTCTGTCTCAAGCTCAGGTTTTGGTTTCAGACAGAGTAAGATGTTTTATGGACGAGAGTACACTGCGATTCAATTGGAAAATACCTAATAAACTTTGTTTGAGAAAACCCAAGAAATTGTGGGTTTGTGTTGGATATATCAGACGGGAACTCCTAGCTCAGACATACTCATGATCCTTTTGTTCAATGCAATCCTCTTTTGTCTCAAGAGCGAAGTCATGGAAGCCACCTAATGATTTAAGACAAGAGAATTTGATGAGACGTTCATTGCAATGAAGCTAAAACAATGAGAGAGAAGAAAAAAGTCAAGACTCACTTCAGCTCTAAGCTTGATAGCTTCCCTTCCAGGAATTTGCCGAAGTCCGTCCATCAAATCTGCAGAGAATAGAGATCTCTGTGTGAATTGAAATCTGACGTAGTGGCATTATCAAAGATACCATTGGAAGGGAGAAGGGAGTAAAAATAAATCTTGTTCAAGATTACCTGCAGCTTCACATTCAACCTTGTGGACGGACTTAGCAAGACGATGTATATCGTTTCCAGAGTTCCTATTGATATAACAGTAGTAGCCATATTAACACAAATGATATCAATAACTTTTAATAAAATAAGTGGGAGCGTCGATGTAGGGGCATACATGAGTTCAGAGAGACCGCGTTTCATATCCTTCTCTGCTAAAGCCGTCCTCTCAAGCAATTTCCTGCTCTCCTTTTTCATCAAGTCTACAGACATGTTTAACTCCTGAACATGCTTCTCAGCTTTCAAGAACTGTGCCTGAAGAGATAATTTTGAAGTGGATGTAAAAACAAGAGAAGGGACACAGACCAGGGCAACTAAGTATAACAACGCTAAGAAATAAATTTGAAGCTAATGGCATGGTAGATACCTCTTCGCTCTGAAATCGGCCTAGTGTATGACGAAACAAGAATCTTCTTGGGCCTGTAAGTAGAACAATGGAAAACCAGATTCAGACAAGACACATCTAAGTAAAAGAAATGTAGTACTATTTGGATGCTCCTAAGTAAAGGTATCTAAGTTGTAAAAGTGATAAGAGAGTAGAGGTTATACCTCGCATCAGAACGAGACCAGCAGCGACACCAATCCCAACAGTAGCAGCCGGATGTTCTTTTGCGTATATCAATTCTTCTGCAAAGAAAACAAAAACAACAGAGGAGGATTGATCATTCGAAATGACAAGAAGATTCTAGTATCAGAACATTGTAAGCTGCACTACAAACGCATATAAAAGTTATGGGCAACTATCTGTTATATCTCAATGGTTTGATCTAAATACTCGTTCCTATGCATTACTGTAGTCTACAAGTACAACTTTTTCACGAAACTTGGCTGCAAGTTACCTGTTACTTTACTGAAGAAAGCATTCTCATAGGTCTTATATTGAGTCAAAGCATGTGGAATGAAATCCTGCAATTTCAGAAACAAAAGTAAGATTGTAGAAGAGAAGACGGAGACATATGCATACAGGCACAGCTAATGGAACTGTGATCTTAGACAGAAAAGGTCTACTACATAGCATATCTATAAGCTACATTAATAGACTATAGAAATAGTTTCTTTGAAGAGATAATCAAGAATGCCTCATCGATACATTGCAGACTTCTAAAAACCATTTGAAAAAACAGAATCAGAATCCAGGAGAGACTCAGATCACTGCTAATTACTTCTAATCCTATGATTCAACAAGATTTCACCCAAATGAACAAAACCTAGCACCATTCAATAGATAAAACAGATAATTGGAGCAAAATCTGTTTTGAATCGAACTCATGTGTAGAAATTATAGCTTATGAGATATTGAATACCAAATCCATGGTTTGAAATCATGAAAATTGTTGCTAAAGAATCTCGACTCGCAAAAGAGAGATTATAACCTGTATAGAGCGGAACTGAGAGGTAGAGTTTTCACGGAGGGAACGAGCAGAGCGCATGGCGGAATCCGTCGATTCCTTCACCGTCCGTTGGAAATCATCCACCCATTTCTCTGCTCCTTCTATGGCTCCTTCCACCGATTCAACCACTCCGATCGCTGTATTCACCGTCGCATCAGCAGCAGTTTCACTCGCAACCGCTGGAGCCGAATCATCGGTAGCGCCGGTTGCTTCGGTTTCGCTCATCGTCTCCGATTTGCCTTTCTCGCAACGAACAAACGCTTTCTCCTCTTCTTTCAACTTCACCCTTCACCGGTTCGGTTCGGTTCGGTTTGGTTCCAAATTAGAAGTTGGTTTAAAACGGTTAAGTTAGACCCAGCCCCTTTATATATTGTTTGCGGTTAATGGGCTTTAAGATTGGGTCTGCGTCTCTGCGATACATTACATTCTCTTTTCTCTTCGTCTTCGTCTTCGTCTTCCTTTCCTCCTCCATTCCTCTTTTCTTCTTCTCCCACCATTTCTGCAGAAGAAGACAAATAAAGAGCTCTCATTTATCTTGGTGGAGATCTAAAAAAAGGGAGAAGACATTTTTTTCCTCTGGATCTCCTAAAAGTAAGAACATTTACAAGGTTTGTTTTTATATTTGTTTTGTTTTGATTACTCCGTGAGAATTGAGAGTTTTCTTTTCATGGATTAGCTCTGGTTTCTATTGTTCTCTCTTTATAGAGACAATTTTGGTTGATCAAGTCTTTTTTTGTGGGTCAATTATTGCATAGAAAGCTTACGTTTTCCTGTCTGAATCTTGAGCTAATGATCTTGATGAAGATGATAATATCCTCTTTTTATTGAAACTTTTGGGAATGCCATTCTCTCTATTGAGATCTGCTGAAACTGAATTCAAACGGATGAAACAAAGGTGGAAACTTTATAGGTTTTTCTTCATCATGCATTTTTGTGTTTCTTCTGGTTGTTTCAGAAACGAGATATTTAGGTGGGGAAGGGAAGGAGGGAGAGGCAATGGCAGCTAGGTATTGGTGTCATATGTGTTCACAAATGGTGAATCCAATCATTGATGCCGAGATCAAATGCCCCTTTTGCCAAAGCGGGTTTGTCGAGGAAATGAGCCGTGAGATTAATGGCGGCAGCAGCAGTAGTCTAAGGGAGGTTCAAGACCCAGAGATTGATTTTGGTACAGACCGAGCATTGTCTCTATGGGGTCCAATCTTGCTTGGAATGATGAGTAATCCTCGGAGACGTAGAAGGTTTAGGAGGACAGAGTTTGGTGTGGATAATGATGAGGTCAATGGTGTTGCTGATGTTGATGGAAATGACAGCAATGTCGATAATGATCGACATCATCATCGTCGTCAGCGCCACAGGCAACAAGGTAGAGAGATTGATTTAGACAGAGAGTTTGAGTCTATCCTTAGGAGGAGACGGAGAAGCTCAGCTTCCATATTGCAGTTGCTTCAGGGGATTCGTGCAGGGATTGCTTCCGAGTATGAGAGCTCGGACCGAGACCAGTTTAATCAATCAGCTGTTGTTCAGGGATCGACTAGTTTGAATCAAAACCGGAACAATACTTCTCTTTCTGCAATTGGAGATTACTTTGTTGGACCCAGTTTAGACCACTTGCTTGAACATCTAGCTGATAACGATTCAACCAGGCACGGGAGTCTTCCAGCACGGAAAGAAGCCGTGGAAAATCTCCCAACGGTTAAGATAAGTGAATCATTGCAGTGCTCGATTTGTTTGGATGATTTTGACAAAGGAAGTGAAGCTAAAGAGATGCCGTGTAAGCACAAGTTTCACATCCGGTGTATAGTACCATGGCTTGAGCTTCACAGTTCGTGTCCCGTGTGCCGATATGAACTTCCTCCTGATGATGAGACCAAAGTTGATCCGGTAAGACCGAGAACAAGAACTCTAGAGATCAACATAAGTAATGAGAATGTGGAAGATAATGCAAGGGACAGTAATGTGAGTGAGAGAAGGTTCTCTTTTCCATGGCCGTTCAGCGGGTTATTCTCTTCATCCTCTTCGTCATCCGCATCGGCCTCGGGGTCATCTCATCTCGGTGAGAACTCATAATCAGGATAAAAGAAAAGATCAGTAACAAAACACAATCTCTGCGTTTCTCGTAAACCACTATTCCTCAGCTTATATAGTACATAAAATCTTGTTCACTCAGATTGTTGAATATACAAATAAACACTTTGGAGGAATGGAATCTTTCCTTTGATTGCTTTATAAGTTTATATCATCTTGCTTGATTTCATGTGTTGCGGGAAAAAAAATTATAACTCTCAAGATATTTGCATTTTGCACAGATGAAGCTGATGATCATTTGGGTTTGTTTGTGTTTACATTAGTTTGATAGTTTCCGTTAAAAGTATCCTTTATTTATTCTGTAAAATTTTAAAAGATGGACACAGGTATTTATGTTGAGAGGGAGAGGCATGTGACTGTGAGTATGGTTGTTGACTGCATGCATCGCATTATCTTCAAATACGAATCCCAAAGTTGTATGATCACGAGCCAAATGACTCACGTCACACATTTTTGAAAAATCTATTTAAAAATGGGCTTTTTAGTAAAGTAGACACTTTTATAAAAGTAATTTGAAAAATAGGTAGTTTTTTTAAAAATTTGTGAGATAGACACTTTTTCTTTCTTTTGTGAGATAGAGGTTGTGTGTAATAGAGTAAAAGACAAGAAATAAGTCAAATACTATTTTACCCCTTGTCTTTTGTGAGTTAACTTTTTGTGTGGGTCCAAATCTTTTATGTTATTGGATTAAATTATATTACATCATTACTTTTTTTTCTTAATTTTTTTGGTTTTTTTTTTTAAAAAAAAATCTTAAAAAAAAAATGATTTGTATATATTCTTCTACCAATCTCGTACACCAGCATTTTAAACATAGTTTTGTACACTAACTTGTACACCAAGTCATTAAGTACATCTTTTTGTTTCATATTTGTAAGTTGAAATAATTATTGTTCATAATATTAATACAAACACAATGGTAATATAAATCATATGTTATACTAAATATAATGGTGTACACCATCATGTACACCAATGAATATGATGGTGTATACCATTAAATTGAAATAATGTTTGTATATTTCTACTTAGTGTACACTAACGTTTGTACACTCCTCTGTACACTAATCTCGTACACTATTGTGTAAATATTGTTTTGTCCATTATCCCTTGACAAAAATGGTTCTTTCTTTGTATGTGGTGTACAAGTACAAAATAGGTGGGTGTACGATATTGTAGATTACACACGAGGTGGTATATGGTGCGACATACTATCTCATCGTTTTATGTACACCATATTTTACATCATCTCTGTACACCATCGTATTATGTAGGTGTACACCACTATCAATTGTCGTTTGTACACCACTATCAATTGTCGTTTGTACACCACCTTGTATACTGTTTACAAATTATATACCATTTTTTATTAATAATATACATTAATTTTTATATTATCGCCGTACACTACAATTTGTACACCACTTTTTACATTATTGTGTACACCGACGGATTGAAATTAAATTTAAAAAATATAAAATATAGCAAAATTGAACTTTTTAGATTCACTTAAAAATTTTAAAGATTAATATGTTTATGTAGTAATTTTTTATGAAGAATTTTTAACAAAACAAAACAAAGTAAAAGTATTTAAGTTTAAATTAAAAGAAGAAAGAGAAAAAATAATAGTATTGAAATTAGTTTTGTCTTTATCTTTGAAATAATACTACAATTTGTACACCACTTTTTACATTATTGTGTACACCGACGGATTGAAATTAAATTTAAAAAATATAAAATATAGCAAAATTGAACTTTTTAGATTCACTTAAAAATTTTAAAGATTAATATGTTTATGTAGTAATTTTTTATGAAGAATTTTTAACAAAACAAAACAAAGTAAAAGTATTTAAGTTTAAATTAAAAGAAGAAAGAGAAAAAATAATAGTATTGAAATTAGTTTTGTCTTTATCTTGCTACATACAAAACAACAAAGGATATATAAGTCATTTACTAAAATCTCTATTAGAGAGAAAGTTGTATTAGAGAGGAAAGAGAAAAGTACTTATTCTTCTAATTTCTAAAAAAATTACCTACTTTGCAAATTATTTGTAAAAAAGTGTCTACTTTACATAATTTCTCTTTAAAAATAGCCTTTGATTATGCAATTGCACTCGTACCAAACTAATGTACTTTGTAAGCAGAGTATGATCCAAGAACATTATGTAGTGTGTGTGTGATCCACACAAAAAAGGAAACAAAAGAGACTTTGAGTTTTCATCTCAAGACTAGTCACCGTGATGAATAATATCCAAAACGCTAAGAAACACCGGAAAACGCAAATGGGATCACTTGACTGTCAAGATCTTGATAACAATGGCGTTACCTGTTCGGAAGAGAGCCACAACAGAGTCTCCGGTCTTGCACAGTTGCTTCTTTTTCCCGTACTCTGTCGCGAACTCGATCGTTTCTTCAGTTGACTCGTCTATCGAGGCTCTAGCCGAACCAGCGTACAGAACTGGGACTAAACCCCGGAAGATGAGACTGTGTCTTGCTGGTGCCTCGTTACTACACGACCAATCAAAAGAGTCGGACGTGATTTCAGGAACCACCACCGACAGAATGGGTATCCCTGGTCTATACTTAGCCACCAGTCTCGCCGTGCTGCCTCCTCTGGTCAAGACCATCATGAGAGTGGCTCTTGAGGAAGTAGCGGTTCTGACCGCAGAGGAAGCAAGTGACTCGATCGGGCTCATAGGGACCGCAGCGTGAAGCATTATCCTCTTGAAGATGTCTCCATAGTCCAATGTGCTCTCTGCTTCCACACAAATCTTGGCCATTGTACGGACAGCAAGCTCTGGATATGCTCCTGCTGCGGTTTCACCACTGAGCATGACACAGTCCGTGCCATCGAGTACAGCGTTTGCAACATCAGTGGCTTCTGCTCTTGTTGGTCGTGGGGATTTGATCATAGACTCGAGCATCTGAGTCGCTGTGACCACTGGCTTCCCCATGAAATTGCACTTGTAAATCATCACCTTCTGAGCTAAGAATATCTTCTCAATTGGGATCTCCATTCCAAGGTCACCTCTCGCGATCATAAACGCATCCGAGTTTATCAAAATATCATCAAAATTCGCTACACCTTCTTGGTTCTCAACCTGACAATATCAAAAGTAACATATCATAAAGATTTGAGTATGAAAATGTGATACTAGTTTGAGTGGTATATGTATATATACCTTTGACATGAGAAGAATGGTTTTTGCATGTTTTCCGAGTAGCTGCCTAACTTGTACCAAG